CGTGCAATCAAACAAGGGGAAGCGTGAGTAAACAGCCCAACACAAATACTGTTGTTTCGGTCTCGTTTTCTCTTGGATCCTAACTGGGCACAATGGCCGTCCACTTTTCAGCTCGTTTTCTCCTGGCACATCGGTGCACGGTTTCTTCAACCGAGCCCGAGAAGTAGAAGTGCTTTGTTGAAGCAAAAACCAAGATTCACAGTCTTGCTAGGACCTCCAAGCTCCAGGAAGATGGCACTTGCTCAACACGTTACATCCAAAACTCAACCAGATGATACCCCGGAGTTTCACCCATTAACCATTGATCTTCGTGCTGTCAATAAGAATGGCAGCTTTCTGAAAGCTTTCATGCATCAAGGAATTCTTGTGGGGTCACGCGACGGCTTTTGGAAGGATATGTTGAGCAGATCCAAGTTCTTGATCGGTAGCTTGTCCTTCAAATCCGGCAAAATGATACATTCCACAGAAACGGCAGCAAACATTTTTGACCAACTGGCAAACCGCCTCAAGCCTTGGTCCCCTTACCACGACAATAGACCCCGGATGGGTGACGAGGACAGTCCCTTGCTCACTCCTTGTTCAAATACAAGCCTTCTCTGATGACAATATTGCATCCAGGGAGATAGATGTGTTCCTCAATTTTGCAGTTCGAATTACAAAACAAGAAGCAAAAATGCATGTTATTTTCACCTCATCTGACTCTTTCTTTGAGAGCTGGCTGAAACAACGTAGGTCACAGCTTCAATAACAAGCAATGTAAAACACATGTCTCAAAAATGGTACTCCTTATTGTTTAGGTGTAAACCCCACACATTTTTGCACCCTTGTAGTTGGTGACCTGCCCTGCCTGGAGGCACACAATTATTTCCTTCATATGGTTGAAAACAATCAACAACTCTCAAAAGAAAAGAAAGATATCTTATCATCCATCAACTTTGATATTCCTTTCAAGATGACTGGAGGCAGGATGTTTTTTCTTGAGCAATATATCGAGGATGTATGTGGCTCTGGCTATTTTGATGATCACATGAACAGTGAATTTTATCTGAATTTGAGAGGAATGGAAAGCTTATTTTTGTCTTTTCATTTCAGCCATCCAATATTTGAAAGGATAGAAATGAGAAGAGGAGATCAGAGGCAAGTGAAATTCCAACACTTGGCACAGATGGGGAAAGACTCCAACTCAATGTCACAGAAAATATTAAAGATTGGGAAGCCATACACCTAGTGCCTCAATAGAGAAAACAAGTAAAAGAGGTGCATGCAAGAATTGATGAACAAAGTTAAATTCATGGTCCCACAACATCACCCTAAGGATTTCTTTCTATCACAGTATCAACTCTCCTACCAAACCCCTTCCCACTTGTTCATTCCTCCGCTTAATTCAGCCTCTCCTCCCCTGCACTTTCAGATTACCCTCAACTTCAATCCACATTTCACAGATAACTCATTCTTTCACCATTCAGTTTGCCTATTACCATTTAGTAGATGAGTCTTGTTGCTCTTTGGCACTCTCATACATATTTTTTCCTTTCATTTTGCATTCAAAAGAAATTACACTCATTGGGGCCAATGTTACACTGGCTTTGATTTGATAGGAAGGGTTGGGCCCATATTGTGACAATCAATGCAGTATTGCAAGAGGCAAAATTGTATACAGCAAACTTATCAATAGACACCTTCACTAGGTCCAAGCACGGGTTCTAAAAGATCCCCCCTGAAGCAACTGCCCTTGCTAATGCGACATGGAAGAAATTGGGGATTGGTCAGTTATACCAACCTCACGGATATTCATTACTGGGAGAGAAGATATTCATAGGGCAGGATAATCCATCAGACAATGTGAAGCCTTCAGAGACCCCATCCTACATCTATGATGGAGGGAGGTCTTAGGTGGAAACTGCGAACATTATGCTATTTTTCATCACATGGAAGGGGTTGAGGTAAGATGCAGGAATATGATTACAAAGGGTTTAACACTCACACCTCAAGATGTTGCAGGGATTTGAAGGATATCTTAGTTGGTTCAAGTCAAGCTGGGCACTGAAAGGAGAAGGCAGAGCAGTGTCAGTTATGCAGCAAGGAGGGTTAAGATTATTCATTTGGTTTATATTTCTCAGACAAATGGATATACTGGCAAGTATGAAATACCAAGACATTGAAGATATCTTGGTTCTCTTTTCAACTTTCTCACCAAGGTCGATAAGATGGGGAAGAGTGTTGGGAGTCATCATAGAAGGAGGTTTATACATAACATAAACTTCAAAAGGCTTGGAAAGGCTTACATTAATTGTTTCATTTTAATATTACTTGCATGTCCTCCAATAATTCTGCATTACAAGTGATTCTTCACTAGATTCAGAGATGTACAGACTTGTGGGGTGTGATTGCACTCCTATGTAATGTAGCAGGAGTGATAAAGTTAGCTGTTTGAGGACAAATGTGGTCCTCTCAGCTGAATTCAACACACACAC